GATTGTTTTGTTGTGTCCGTCATCTGTGTCAATTTCGATGGTGGAACCGTCACCTGTCGGTACCCCGCCTCCTACTTCTGCTTTCTCACCCACAGGGTTGGACGCTTTAACAACAACAAAAATCGTTATCAGTGAAGTGTTTGTTCTTTATAGTCTTTATAATATTTTCTAAAATTTCTGTCTGTATGGCGCTTTAGTTTCAGGGATGGTAGTGAATGGCGAGGAGAAGGGGAACTTTTTATTTCTTTTACGGTTTGGTTATTGAAATTAATCCACTGGGTTCATTATTTCTAATTAACGCTCTATAATATTCAATTTATTCATATTATCAGAAATGGTTGGATTACTCTTTCGACATTTGATTAATATCCCATGCTGTAATGCTCATGACACGTTTTGCCGCTTTAATAAAGATTTGATAAAATATCTAAGTCTTTACATCGCTTTAATTTCAAAGATTAAAGTGAATGGATGAAGCTTAGGGGTGTAATTGTTTTGTACGTTTTATTACTGAAATATATGCACAGGGTATTATCGTAATACGAATAGTATATTATTTCTAAATTTAGATAATGCTATTTGATAAATTTTGCATTAAAATGGTCTGTGCTTATGATTTAAATTGATCTGAATATCAACGCTCCGGCATTAATATGTGCATTTTAATTGTGCCATAAATAATCCATAATTGTCAAATTTCATGAAATATTGTTTATGTTAATAAGCACAAAAGTAATTTGGAAAGAAGGGAAAGAAGGTTGTGTCAATTGCATTTCAACAAGTTAGACTATAATATTAATATTGTGACGTGACTATTGTGTAATATTTCTTCAAGTCCTTTTCAATACATATATTCCATAAAAGCACATATTACCATGCTTCTTGTTGACAATTTGAACGTATGAAGATAAAAAAAAAATAAAAAAATACATGGGTACTGATATAACTAAATTATATTTCTGCACCATATCCACACTTGTAACACCATTTTGCGTTGAAAGGAAGTGATTCTCCTTTGTTATCGAGAGGAATATCCTTGAGAAATATTTTTCAATATTTGATTGCCCTTAGTAGATGTAAATCATTTACAGATAATAACTTTTGAATGCTGAGAAACAGAGTTGATAAATACTATTGTACTAGTATACCGGGAACTTTTCGCTGCTGTTTAGTGTTCGCCTTTTTCGCCCTCTGAAATGAGGGCGAATTTTATCATTACAGCTAACATAAGGCAACAACATAATTTACATATTAATTAAATGTGAAAGGCGTAATAAACACCGAGTGAAGTTGGATTTTACAGGAGATGGGCGAAAGATTGACTGGCAAACATGCTCCGGTATACAGTAGTTAATACGTTAAAACGTTGAAATAAAATACCTACCCCTGCATGCACTTTTCTTGATTTCATAAATGATGTCGTCAATCTGCTTGAAATTGGTGAGAACGAAGACATGCGTGCAGTTTGGATCACTGGCAGCAGAGTTCAACTCTGCAATGTTGATATTCCCTATCCCCACAGCAAATATCCTAATGTGATTAGCCTTCGCATCATCGGCCGCTCGCTTAGTAAATGTAGCAGAGTATGACACTCCGTCCGTGACCAGAATAGCTATTTTTGTTGCGTCCTTTCTGCCACCATATTTAATAGGAAAGACATACTTGTCTGCATGCTGAATTCCTGCCCCAATGTTGGTCCCTCCACCTCGATAAGGGGTGTTCAAAATGGCGGACTTTAGAGATGTTTTTGTCGAGTATGTTCCTAGAGGGAATTCCAGAGTTGCCCCTGTGTAAAACGTGACGAGACCAACCTGCACAGCTGTAGGTCCTATGTTCAGATAGTCGACTACTTCCGTTAGGAAGGTGAGTACTTTAGAGAAGTTTGAAGAGCCGACGCTTCCCGATTCATCAATGATGAAGACAATGTCGATGGGTTTGTTGTCACAAGAGTCTGAACGGAAACGAATCAAATTTTGTTTTACAGTTAAATGTATAGTAAAACCTCGTTAAACTGTTACCATTTGTCCAGAGAAGTCTTTATAAATCGTTATAATGAGTTCTACCAATAAAATGAAGGAAAGGTACAAAGGAACTATTAAGAAAATTATATAAGATTGAAAACATTGTTGGCAATAAATGAGGTGGAAAGTGTTAGTAAGGGGCGTTGAATCGAGGTTTTACTTTATATAAGACCCCGGTACCACTGCCAAAACCACGACTTCACGTAAGTAGCCTTTTTCTGGCATAACTTTATCTTTATTATCGAGTTCTGAAATGAAAACTATCTCTTTTGGAAGTTTTAAGGAAAATAGCAATATAAACGAAATATAAACAACAGTGCTATGAGTGAAAAGATTTAGAGAAGCTTGAGAGGTCCACATATTTGTAAACTGTCGTAAAACGATATTAAGGGGAGGTTACTGTATACAGAAAAACCAGAGTGCAGTGGCACAGGGATCGGGGATCATCCTCAAGCGAAGATAGTCATGTCAGTCCCTGGACATACATATCTCGTCAAGTTATTAATTTAAGAAATAGATATATTGGTTCTAAGTTTTCCATTTGTATGCAATACACGAGTAAAAATAAACATTTACATTCACACATCATATTACGCTCCAAACTGGGGAGCATCATTGTTAATATGTTTTTGGTAAGATGTAATAAGGTGTACCGAAAGAAAATGTCAATAAACAAGTTGATGATGAAGAAAATATGGAGTAGTACATTTAATTGCTACAAGTTTAATTAGATGCAAGTATTTCTTTTTAAAATGTTGTACCGAAAGCCAAATCATCATCACTACACTTAAAAAATCTGGCAAGTACATGTATCTAAAGATGACCGTACCAGAACAAAAATATAAAACCTTAAATTTGAAACTTTTTACATGCATGCCAATTGCTTCAATAAGTCATGCATGGTATTTTTCTGATAAGAAATCCATACGTATTGACACTTTTATGATGAAACAAATAAAGATGGAAAATAAAATAAATCAACTACCGTTGAAATTTGCCCCAGAGTTTTTTCTACGGACAGAAAGACAAAGGGACAAGCTGATTCTAGTATACCCCCCTAACTTCGTTGCGGGGGTATAATAAAGTGTATAACAGTTTTACTATTAAGATTGTTTTCAAACAATTGCATATCTTTGTATATATCACAATCTCAACCTTAAGCAGTTCTCCAGAGGAAAGATTACTATGACAGAATACATATTCATGAGTTATTACTGCTGCACATAACTTTAAAACATGCCTAATATAATAAAGAGTTTTGGTATGATACATCAACAGAAAATGTATCGGTATTTATAATAATAGACATTGATAATCAAATCCCCATGATTATGTAAAATTGGGCATTGATCATGTTCGGCATGCTAACAAAGTACTTTACTGGTTTTGATATTACATAAAAATGATTACGCAGACAGAATATATATATACGTTTTTAAATAAGTTTGAAATATAGCCTACCATTATAACTATATATAGACAAGTTTACAATGTTGGTTATATTTTAAATTTTGTGAACATTTTGCATGTTTTTCTAATTATAAGTTTAACTTCGCTTACTTCATGTATACCAATATGACATATTTAGTATCAAAATGACAGTAATTGTATACACTGTACACTATCATAATTCATTTTCAAAATAACATTCGCCTGTGACATTTATCTGTCACTTTGTTAAGATACCCCCGTAACTCAACCTGGTGTTATGCAAGGAGGTCCACTACGGCTATCAGTAGTAATGATGAATATACATATGGCAAAAGAATAAAAGAAATCAAAGTGGGGGCCAAATCTTTGAAACTTTTTACATACATGCCAATTGTTTCAATAAGTCGTGCATGATATTTCCCGGTCGGAATTATTAGAACTCTGTACCTAATTCGTTCACAGTCTAGCCTACATAGCTTCCTTATCAGCTGTAGTTTACTAACCCAGCGGGACTACTGTTGTATCAAAAACGAAAGTAAGGGGAGGTTACAGTTTTTTTGAAAAAACTACAACGAATAATTAAGTTTTGTGTCTGCAGTCATCCTCGATACTCCAGGATTTACGCTCACTTTCGCTCTCTGCACCCCTGGAATGGGTCATAGCAAAATCAAAGGGACTTGGCTAGCTATTTGATTCGTCTCTGTTAAAAAAAAGCCTGACCAATCGCTAGGCTGATACCTGTCCTTTGAAGAACACAGTGGAGCAACACCCTACTTCAAACCCTTTCACTTTTACCATTACGCGACCGACATATTCTTTTGATGTACATCAAGGGATCAAACTAGAGTTTCCTAGTCTCATCCACAAGGCAGTGCACACTACTGAGCCTTCGATTTTGCTATGACATTATCGAGGATGGTCTGCAGTGGGACAAGGATCCTGAAATTATTTAATCTACGAATTAAAATATAGAGTAATCAGTAATACACTTACCGTCCGCCGTACTCTCTTTCTGTTGGATCTTTGTTGTATACGTTGTCAGCTCCTGAGTTGGTTGGAAATAACTTTTCCACAAAGACGCTTGACCGGTTAGGTCGCCAGGGGCTGGGTCAGCCCCTCGCAGTTTGAGATATAGGGACGCTGCTAGGCCGGAGTACAGAGGCTTCAGGAGGTCAGTCCACTGGACACTTGACCAGTCGATTTCGAACTCCGATAAGATGATGCTACATTCCTCGCGTATTGTGTGATGGGCGCAGTTCGTTGTAGTGTTAAACTTGTCTTCATCAACCTGTAGCCAGAATATGAAAGCATCGTGAACCAATACAACTCGACCTAACTCGACCTATACTATGTAATATGAACGTAATGCACTCACGTGCTTGCCCTTATACTATTTGGTAATGGATGCAGCATGCCAAATCACACTGCACCATTCAACTGTTTTAGTTCTTCTAAATCTTATCTGTGATGCTAGGAGCCAAAAAAGGAAGTAATCAAAACGTTCGTTGTAACAGAAGAAACATACGAAAGAGGGGACTCATACGTTATATGATAAGCTGAATGTCAATGGATATTAAGATTGTCCGAACATCTTAGAGCAACATATGGTGATAAATAAGTTTACGCTAATTATTACTTTTGTGTAAAGCAATACACGAGTCTTAAAACACAATGGAGCATCTGAGAATGTTTTTGAGGTATTAGGACACAAATTTGAAGGACGGCAGGATACAACACTCGCGTTTAAATGATAAATGACAAACAGTTATGATCATAAATTCAGAATTGTTAGAATCGTTATTTTTAAACAGAAATAGATGACGAAAGAATGTCACATAAGTGCTTGAGTGTGCAGCCATTGCACCAGAAACCATAGCTTTAAGGCACTGGACATGCTTGGTGACAAAAACTTAAAAAAAAAAAAAAAAACGTAAAAAAGAAAACAGGACAAGGTAAGAACCAGTGTTGAATTGTTAGTGTGTCCATGTAACAAATATATAATGAGTAAAAGTATTAAAGTGACCGTTCTGCACTCTGTTTGTCAAAATTATAGTATATAAGTCATCAAATCCTTTACGGCACGTAAGAAAATAAAACTTAATTCCTTTTTATTTTATATCTTTGACTGCTTTCACTGCCTTAGTGTGGTGATAATGGAAAGTTTCATACCTTTGCTATGTAGAAACAAAAATATGTCAGTTTTATCCAGCTGTATGTGGTATCTTTCAATGAATGTTCAAGTAATTGGGTGTTTCTTTGATTATTGCCCACGCAAAAGCGTTTTCCTGAGACCATGATACGAGTAGAAAGTACATATGTACTGAAATAAAATAAGATAGTTATTAGGTATACTATAGTTTTTGAATAAATGTCTTAAACAAAAATTCGCTAAAAGAAGCATGTGATTGATAGACCCCACTCTTCAAGTCGGTTTGTCATAGTAAACAAAAAGGGAATACAACTGCAATTTGATCTCAAACCTGCTTAAATTAAGCCAAAATATAAACGAAGAAAAGATTACATGTCTACCCTTGAAATAGTAGCACAAAGAGGAAAAGCAGGTGTTCCAGAGGGGTAAACGTCTTCTGCGTCGTGTAAATCTTTGTAAAATCTATGTAATGTCACCACCTCAAATCGGGAAACGGGGTAGTGACAACAGGTCACAAACAAGCAATTTCCCTTTACATATGTACTTCAATACACACATTTACTGGATGCACAGAACGGTCATCAGGTGACAAATTCAGTTTAATATAACCAAAAGACAAACAACACTTTGTCCGGCTAATAAACTTACATTTATTGGTCACTATTTGCAAGTCGCATTTCCACCAGGTAATATTTGAAGATGTAACTTACCTGCCATATACCGCCAAAGTATCCGCTTCTGTAGGTAGTGGCCATATTGCCGTCATCAGACTGGACAATGGCCAAACGTCTGATAAACAATCGGTCATCGGAGTAGATACAGCCGCCTCGTATACGGTCAGTGACTGCCTGGACAACAGCTGAGCCGAAGGTACGCTCCTGCATGGTCAAATCGGACTGACCACTGCAATACAACTGCAGCATACCTGTTCAAACGATTTATAGAAGGCATATTAGTGCCGTGATAGGACGCCGGGCAAGATATTTTACTCCACTTGTTGTTCCAGTCTACTCAGCTGTAAATGAGAAGGTTGTTGCGCAGTGCTAGAATTGTTAAATGCTAGCTGTGAGCGCCGAAATTGCAGCACCGGCTGTATGCTCTCCAGGGAGTTGAGAAAGATATTGGCTAGTTGCAAAGGCGCTTTAACCACGGATAATAATTTGTAAACCGCTTTGAGACGACCTACAAACTATAAGAACCTCTATTTATTATTGTTTTTTATCATTAAATCACAAAGTTGACACAAAAAGACTACAAAAAGCATGCACACGAATAAATAAATAAATAAACGGAGAGCCTCGGTGAACCCTCATATCAAACTCAGAAGTAAAACTGAGTTTTCTTGAAGGTTCAAGATGTTCGTGCACCACAGGAAGCAAATCGACATAATCAGAATATGATCATGACGACTTAGATTGTTGGTGAATTATATTTCACATAATCATTTTTATATCTTGAACCTTCAGGAACACTCGC